GACTCGACAGACAGCTTATCCGACGAGAACAAATACCTTCACCGTGTTTTTACGAAGAACAACTACAACAACGACTTCATCCGACGAAACACTCACCGACCCACTACCACTACCGAAACAAACGACACCGCAACCCCTACGACTACAGCAACCATACCGTACATAAAAGGCATGTCTGAAAACATCTCGCGCATCTTACTACCCTTCAATATCCGCGTCGCCCACAAACCCATCACCACACTACGTCAGTTACTAACCAACGTTAAAGACAAAGACGAACCGAGGAACAGACAGGGAACGATTTATAAGATCAATTGTTCCGACTGCCAAGCCTCCTACATCGGTGAGACTGGCAGAAACCTCACAACAAGACTGACTGAACACAGACGGGCGACGAGGAAAGGTGATGTCAGCAATCACATTGCTGAACACCATCGACTTACCAGCCACAACATTGACTGGGACTCTGTGCAATGCCTAACCTACAGCACTGTCTATTTTCAATGACTGACTCTGGAAAGCTGGTTTACTAACTTACAACAGACTCCCGTAAATAGATGTCAACAACTACCCGCTCCATACAAACGACTCATTCACGACATAAACATCACAAACGACCGAAAAAGAACGACCTAACTTTACCGACATATCGAAACAGACCAATCACGACCGACTTACGTCACTTGAGTCTTACAGCCAATAACATCACGGCAAAACCAACCGATCACTTTACACGAACTGGAATAAGAACATTCTACTGACAACAATCATTCACTTGACTCTGACGGATGACTTCTACAGAGGTTATCGAAACGTCAGTCACTACCACCGACAACAGTCCTTCTCAGGACTACACTCACCCTGACTACACCTTCACATATTAACCGATGTAAATCAGAGCGAGGAGCTCTAAAACTCGTCAGTTGTTTCGGCCATGTTCTGTTGTGCGTGATGCGAGTTTTTATTAATGCAATCTGTAAACAATTGTTATTTTGGTCGTTACCTAAGAGTTTCAACAAATTTCAGGCCATCCGATCCTCTCTTGACGAATACACGATCTGAAGGTTATGTTCCACCTGTCAGTACATATTGCATCGGCCGCGCGTAAAATATATGTGTTTAAAGCAAACGTTTCATTTGAGCGAGCTTGGTAGTCGTACAGATGTAAAAGAAATTTACTTTTCTGCTTAATGTCAAACTTTTATATGGTCCAACCTAGCGGTCATTCAAAGGGAAGGACCGCTTACCACAGGGTGATCGCTTAATACAGGCTCTACTGCACTCAAATTCTGCTTTATATGTATAGATATATATAGCAGCAACAAAGCTATATTTAACAATTATTCCACGAGCGCGCGTTGGATATGAGATGATAGATAGCCATCGAGGCGCGTAGCGCTGAGTTGGCTATAATCATCTCATATCCAACAAGCACGAGTGGCATAATTGTTTTATTAACAAAACGCCCCCAGGATATTCTCAAATCTTCTCGACTTTATTTTGTAAGAAGAAACCGGATGTTACAATGTACAGATATTAGATTATGGTATATTGGCTCAGCCAATAATGGCTTTAGCCCAATAAAAAGTCTTGAATTGTATTATCCAATGATACAGTTCTTAATAAATATATACATATATATATATATATATATATGCAGTTCTTAATAAATAACTAACTGCAGACAGTACCGTTTCGGCCTTCAGGGCCTCATCAATGCAGCGCTGATGCTAGGATGGGGGAGAACCGATATGGTCACCCCGAACGATCCCACATTTGTGGTATCGTCTAAGCCATGCCAGAGAGCTCAAACTACGAAAGCCTAGTGAGCTATGCGCAATGCTAGTGGCAAGGAGTCACCCCACAGTGCTCAATTTGGACATGAAAGCAGAGCTTTGTATGTCAAAGAGCTAACATATTTATGCTAATTTACTGTTACACCTTGCCACAAACTTCATTTTTTATTTCTCCTTGACAATGGCAAGAGCTACAGTATGTAGGGTTTGTCTAATTCTTGAGGTATAATTATCCATAGCTCTAGCCCTGCTATTGAGCACTTTTTAGTAGATGATGATCTCATTCCGCTATTTTGGTTATATATATATGCGCATATATATATATTTTGGTTATATATATATGCGCATGCTCGCTAGTGTACTCTAGTTTGAGCACTCTGGCATGGCTTAGACGATACCACAAAGGTTGGATCGTTTGGGGTGACCATATTGGTTCTCCTCTATCCTAGCATTAGCACTGCACTGATGAGGCCCAGAAGGCCGAAACAGTACTGTCTGCAGTTAGTTATGACTACCAGTGAAACTGAAAATGAAGACTTCATCCGCTATACAAGCGTGTTTCGTGATTGCTCACTCATCAGGGGATTTTATACCAAGCAATGGTTGGAAATCATATTTTTGACGTGAAATTTTGTCTCTTGGCTGTTCGGAGTTGAATAGTACTTGTAGAATCACTTCACGTACTAATCCCAGATAAAGTCACCATCAGTTTTTTTATCAACGCAACGCATCCTAAAGTCCAGCACCAAGTAGACAGAAATAACACAATTTTATTGTTTTTAATTCTTTTTTTTTTTTTAAATATTTCCCAAACACAGATTGGATGACTCGATTCTTCATGTGTTTTTCGCTGGTCAAAAACACAAGTTTTATAACGGACACCAGTAACTCTCCTGGTAATTTCACTTCACTGCATGGTATGAGAGTACTAAGCATGTGGTGGGTTATCTTGGGACATTGTTATTTCATGCTACAGTTTTCCCCAGTGAGTAAGTATCAAATCAACCATCTTTTATTTCATGACTTCAATACTAAGCGCTGTAATTGGACGTTGCTCGTGATCTATCGGAGTTTACTTGATAAGCTGAATGATACACGAATTTTGATTGTTTCTTACTTACATCTATTGGAGAGCATAGATGACATCACCATTAACATTTTTTTTTCTCCCCTACTGTTTAAAATGAATGCATCCCATGTTGCCGAGGGACTTTAATCAATCCGCGTTGACGACGGAAATTTCCGAAGAACGATAGCTCAGCACGTGCGTTTAAAACTTTGTTCATTTCTAAGCCATCTTCATTACATGTTAAAAAGCGCACTATAAATTAATAAATTATTATTATCGTTATTATTATTACTAAACAACAACGCAAAATCAGCAACATTTGGCTCGTCTGCGAGCGGAAACTCCGACGGTAAATTATTTACGTTTCCATTTGGAACTCAACGCTGCTCACATACAGTATGCGAAAGTAAAAAGATGTGGCACCGTTACAGACGATAAACATATCAATTTGTCCGGCCATTTGCGAAATTCTAACTTAGAGTATAAATCCATTTTTAATTGAATTGTTCCTAACTGCATGAGGTTCCGAATAGATCATAGATGACGTCAAATGCAGTCAGAATATCCGTGATTTTTGGTTCATTCCATTTGCCTGCTCGAGGGAACAACCCAAAGAGGCCAGTGCCTTGCCATTCTTATTACAACTTGGCACTTTCATGGTGAAAGCGATAAAATAAATGTGGTAAGAATAATAAAGTGACACACAAGGCGTGTTCCGGCCACATTTTGAGATCTATTACTCAACAGACCCACAGCAACATGGGATCTATTTGTGTTATACACTGGAGAAAGAAAAAAATTGTTTATGGCGACATCATCTATGCGTCCGTCCTCCAATAGAACATAATTGAGAACTAATCAAAATGCATGTTTAGTTCAGTTTATTCTAAAAATCCCAACAATTCATCTTCTTCTCCGATCAAGATGCTTCCGACAGAGATGTAGTGATTGTTCTGAGCTCAATTCCAACTGGGTGGTCCCGCGCCAACCATGCAAACAGCATAACGAATTTAAATCTTTTTTTTTTTTGGTATTCAATTAATCCATAATTATTACTTTTTCAGCTAATCTTTTATCACTTAAAGAACTTTTTCAACGTTTCACGTTTCAAGCCGTCCAAAATTCATCATTTTCAGTCGACACCTTTTTCGTCCTGAGGTGAGTACATTCGACCGATGATTGTACCTGGATATCAAATTCTTGAATATCAATTTTCGGAAATCATTATTTTACAGAAGTCAATTTTTAATTTATTGAGAGGGGAATTGAGCTTCTTAGGCTCGTTATAATAGGTTTATAATCTAAATCAAGAATCTCAAAGAACCAATTTACACAGTCTATGCCTAAAATTTGAGTCACTTGACTAGAAAAACTTTTTAGAAGCCTGATGGAGGTATCGTGATTTTGAGATTTCGTCCTTAATTTGCAGTGGCCTCCTAGCGACGTATTTATCGTTGCGTCGTATGGACAAAAACAATGGAAAGTTGTCACTCTTTCACCACTATTTTCATCGCTTCTGGAGGTGAGTATTTCTTACTTCCCTTTTCTTCCGGTAAAACATGTAGCGTTTCAATTTTAACTTTCCAAAGTCATACTTAGTCAAAAAAAGAAAATAAGCTAACTAATAAAAGATTGGCGGCTGATGTCCGACGTTGTACGCTGTTAAATAAATTACAATTTTTTTTATTCTCGGTGTGTGCGCCAGGCTGTTAGTAAGAGGAAATAAGTGTGAAAGCGGGTACGCAAAGAACGGCGGGAGCTAGGCTGATAACCTGTGGGTTAGGGGAGCCTGATAATGACCTGCCCCGGAACATACTTGATCGTCTCACTCGGGCAGACTATTTGGGGTCTCACAGAAGATCATGGCTGCTCTCCGTATGTATTTTTCATTGATATCATTCCCTTGATGTTTGATTTGGGAGTGATGTAGTACTGTTAGGAGAAGTGACTCAGTGAGATGCTGGTCACCGTTGGGGTTCAAAAGGTTAAGAAAGAAAGCAACATCAGTTAGCATTACAACATTTGATATGATATGAAACTTATTAAATGAGGAGTTTTTCTACAACGAAAAAGTCTTAAGATCATGTTCACTGATCATCATTACACGTGCAAAGTATGAAAGTAAATTTCATGACTATAAATCTAAAGAAAGAAATAGCCGCAAAAGATTAATGATAAAATAAAAGTTAAGGCCTTGAAGATATAATGTGCGATCTCTGGCAAGAAGGCATGACCATGGCCAAAATATCTCCACTTACCCTGATGGAAAGAAAGTTAAGGAGTACTTTTCTGTCAATACCGTTCTATTTGAAAAGAAATCGTATGAAAACTATCACAAATCACGGAGTTTATATCATTCACTTTCAGAGGTTATGCGATTGCAATCTTTTTACAGGTTGACTCCACCTTACATGTTTCTAGTGCTGTTCTATGATAAATTAAATGGATTTCTTGGCAAGGGGCCTTTGTGGTTCTATGCACAAAATAACCCACAATGTGAGAAGTACTGGTGGACGAATCTTCTCTACATCAACAACTTCTATCCCAAGAAAACGAACGGAGGGCATGGATTGGTGAGACATTCAGCTATGAGTTGAAACATCTCTTTTGTCCCACGAAAGACCAACTGTCGAGTATTTGCGACACGAAGCAGTTTTCGATTACCTGTCGAAAAACCGAAAGCAAACGAATGACAAACGCGAATCAGGCAAAGGTTTACATCTTCATTACCGTCGACTGCCTCTATATCCTTCCACGCGCGTGATAAAAACGTGTTCTCTTGGCCTATCAGACTTCAATTTTTCAGCATCAGACTTCAAAGTTTTCCCATTTTGCATTGCCAGCCCACTTGAGAATGTTTTAGTGTTTCAGTCATTGATAACGTTCGGCAACAGCGTTTGCATTAAACAAACAAGGCAGAAATTTCAGGTGTGGCGTGCCCGGCAATATCCACTGACTTACGAAATCATGTGATAGAGCTCGCACAGCTCCATTGTGTTTTTCTCTTTCTTTAAAAGTGAATAACCCGCCGAGCAGCAATAAATGCATAGCGCTAAAAGTGGGAGGAAAAACCTCGACGTTTTGGTCTCAAAACATTGAAGTTTGATAGGTTCAATAAAACATGTTGTTATCACGTGCGTGGAAGGGTAGATACAATAGACGTTAGTCGATGGCAAATCAAATCAACGCGGGCGACCAAGTCACCATTGTTTTCCATACAGCGGCATCTGATTGCCTAGAGGATTGCGCGAATTTTGTAGACCAATCAGAAACAAATCAATAAAAAATCTCAGATTAATTTTGAAACTCAGTTTAAAGTTGCACTATTGGCGGAGGAGTCAATTTCATGGGAACATAAATTAAAAGGTGTCACTTGGAACCTCTGAATGATTTTTGAATAACATCAGATTTGTGTCTCCTTTTTACTCTGCAGTGTATGGGTTGGACATGGTACTTAGCTGATGATATGCAGTTTTACATAATTGCTCCTGTGATCCTGTTCATAGCATACAGGTACGAACTGATGATCAACACATTTCAGCGGTAATAGCTTTACCATATCCCTAAATCTTTCTGGATTTCGTTTAGATACTCTTAAGTCATTCAAGCTGTTAAGACTACAATAACCACTTAAACGTAATTCACTTCGTGACGGAACTGCGCAGTTATTAGTAATTCAACGCTTGGAGCATAGACACTGGCTATCAGAATTCTTTATGTCTGCCACAGATGCACTGGGTTGACTAAGAAAACTATGAAAGTTAACAACTGTTAACCGAAGTGGAGGTGGCTGGTGGCGGATATTTATCGAGCCGCCAAGCGGCATGGTAAATATCATCCGTTAGCCACCGACACTGAGGTGAATAGTTGTTGTGGCATGTACTAAATAAGTGAAATAATATGGCACAAAAAGATCACGATTTTAATTCATTTATTTCTGCAATGGTTACAGTATTTTCGGGCACCAATTCACCTGCGAGGTGCTCGGAGGTAAATAGCAAAGGATATTTGGAGTTTGAGTAGCCAATCAGATCAGGCCTTCTACTGCTTTAATTTATACTTATTATTGTCTTTATCATTATTTATTTCAGGTTTCGCCTCCGAGGACTGCTTGCCATTGTTAGTGTCTTGTTAGCTGCCAGTTTTGTCACTACAGCCACCATTTATTATTCTTATGATCTCACGGGGTAAGAATCTTTTCTTTACTTGATTTTTAGTCCTTTGGCACGTTGTTTCATCCCATCAATATGACTGAACAGTACTTGGTAATACGTATCTGTGTTATTCCGTTGCAGTGATGATTACGACCTTGTCTACACCAAACCATACTGTCGTATCCCTTCATACCTTGTTGGTATGGTGTTGGGATATTTGCTTCATAAGGCAAAGGACTGGAGGCTCCCTACAAAGGTATTGCAATGATTACGGTATATCCGCTCTCCTTTCTAGCACACGTGAAAAATCTAATAAAGTGTATTTTGGCTGATTATGGTAAGACCAAAACCATGTACCTTTATAACAACGAAAAAGGAGAAAGAATCGGAAAGAGGCCAATAAGCAAGCCTGTTGCAGACAATCATTTAGTAAAACGGAAGGAATCAGCAAAAAAAAGACAAAACACGAAACTGAGTGGCGGAATGACAAAGCGAGGGAGGTTTGAAAATTAAACCGTTAGTTTTTTATTAAAATTTCTCCATCTTTCCAGTAACTGAAACGGAAAGCTGGTCTCGTTTGAGTCAGTGAAATATCCTTTTTTTAACAAGTCGTTAACGAAAAACTCCACTCTATGGCTTATCTAAGAAAATCTAGGCAATGAATTTTGAAATGCTAAAGTTTGCAAAAGTGAAGCACTTGAATAAGGATTTCCGGTCTTCAAAACGATGTCGATACCGCCTTGAACGAAGCAGTTGCTGAATACAAAGTACAGAAAACTTTCGAATTTTCCACGCGTGACCAACCAAACTTCTATCTTCAAACCGTCAGACGGAGCAATGAGCAAAAAGAAAAAAGAATGCATTCATGTTCCTTTAAACATTTGATATCTTGGGGGGTGTGTCACCCGTTCTCCACTAATCCTTGCCTATTTCCTTCTCCCATTCTCTATTCCTTAGCTATGTAACCAACATCCTAGAGTTGAGAAGTCGGTAATGGGTGTTCATGAATCCTTTTAATAATCACTATTTGTTGCTCTTTGTCAAGTTTGGCAAGTAGGTGTTTAATGTGACTGGCTGGTGTCTGGCCATCATCCTCGCTGTGTCCACTTTGTATGGTAAATACCAGACTGAAAGACAGGACGATCCTCAACCGTTCTCTCGCATCCAATCCATCTCATACGGGACCTTTGCACGATTTGCGTGGAGCTTGGCAATTGCCTGGGTAATTTTTGCGTGCCAACGCGGGCTCGGAGGTATGTTAACAGTTCGTTGTTAACAATGGCGATTTGCAAGTTTTGCACTCGCACACTTTCGGTGATTGTAGGATATTTAGGCGTATTTTAGCAAATACTAGTTCCTTACTTCTTCTTCCACGTTTTTTGACTTCGAAGGTTTGGTGAACAGGATTCTGTCGGCTCGCTTCTGGATTCTGTTAAGCCGTCTGAATTACTGCGCCTATCTCGTTCATTTCGTTGTTCTTTTGAACCTCTTGGCGTCAAATGAGTTTGTTTGGACCTACTCTGACGTTCATATGGTGAGTAACATACTTCCAAATTCTCAGCCTCAAGTCAGTTATCCTAGCAACGTTTTCTCATTAGTAATTAATTGAGTATTTTGATGGCTTTAGGAAGGTCATTGCACCTCCTCCTCCGGAGCACTATTGAGACTAATTCCAAATCCCTGACTTTGTATTTCCGTAGGCCTATCGTTTTGTAGGCGTCATGAGCATATCATATGGAGTAGCATTCATATTGTCTGTTTGTGTGGAAGTTCCAGCCAGGCAGCTAGAAAAACTGATCCTAAAGAGAAACAGTTGAACAGTGACGTCATGCAAATGTTCAGCAAGTGTGTCTATTGATTACTTACCTGTAATTTCATCAATAAAAAAACTGGGTTTTCAAAAAAATTCTGTGAAATTCCCTCTCCCTCCTCCAAAATGAGTAAATGAATGATTAATAACAAAGCAAAACAAAAAAGATAAAAATACTGCCTTCCACGATTTAAGCTCAGCCCGGTTACACTATTTTAAAATCTTTAGATGAATACAAGGAATTATCCAATGTAAAAGTGAGTACATGTACCTGCAACCGAACTGAGAAAAGATACTGATATAACAATACGAAATATGATTTAGAGGTTTGGGAAAATCGAATTATGGAACATATTTATTGTATATAGACCTGACAAATAATGGTAGAGAAACTTAATGCGAATAAACGGATCATTGTCCTTTCAATGAAGTGTGCCATATGCCTTTCGTTGTCTGCTTCCGGTTGATTTCCTCACTGGTTTGGACTTAAACAATGTACCAACATTTTAAGCGATTTATCAGTTAAGAAGAATGTACAATAATTCCTCTTTTGAGTGTAAATATTTGATCAAATAAAATACTCCTGATTCATTCTTGTATTGGAAAACGTGTTCAACATTTCTCTTCCCGGTTAAACCTGACAATCAAAGTGGTGTCTGTTTTGATCCACGAGGCGCTTTATCTGCAAAGAAGCAGACAATGGACACGCTGGCTTGCTACACCTTACCTTTATCACGCACGTATGAGGGGGGCAGGGCATACTAACGTCACCAAGATCCACTCTAAATCGTTCCACATGCAAGGAAAGAGACGCATAGTGGGCACCGGAAGGTCCGAAGGAACTTCCAAAATGCTGCGAGATTCTTATGCTTGTTCGGGAAATTCAAAGAAAAATAACTGAGGGACTGGAAGGAAAAGTTAAGGTACTTCACGGCACGGATTATTAGTAGCCTGTTGTGGGGGGAGAGGGGGTGAGGAGGCTTGAGATTAAAATTCTTATTGTGATTCTTAAGCAGACATTGTAGCCGTATTGTCATATGGATGAGGCTATGTGCTAGGTGATGAAAGGTGCTATGAGGGTATTGAACGTGCTCTGCCCAAAGATGATTGGAGATTAAGAAAGAGATATGGGTAAAAGTGCTTGATATAAAGCTGAGGTTCCAGGCACTTTTTAACTCTTGAATTGAGCGCATGCGCAAGAGCGAGTTGTAGGTATGGTGTGATGAATGGCGCTCGCTCGATTGGTCGATTCCTGTAAACTTTTTTCTATTTTAGGCTTTTGAACGCATTTGATAGTTTTTGGCAAGTGATAAACAAACGAAATGACGACCTTTGTTGCTAAGAATAGTGTTGGGGTGAAAAAGAAGGCAATGATAATCTTGAAAGAGTAAAAAAGTATACGTTTTTCATTTCTGAATTAATTAAAGTTTCTCCAATCTGCGAATACACTTTTATCTCTTGCAGTGTATATTTCATTTACGGCGGCAATACTTCTATTTTTAAATGTTTATATTCAGGAAAATTATTATTGTGTCCGAAAAAGAAAAGAAAGAAAATAGAGAAAAGAAGTTAAGCAGAGCGCGAAATTTGCCCAAGTACGGCGGATTTGAACCGCCTACCTGGCTACCCTGTAACTGTCATCTACCTCCCGCTTCTTACCGTAAGGCCACCGAAGCTTCATGAAAATTAGTGTGAAACTTTATTTAATTATAAATTTTACATTTAAAATGCTGATCTTTTGGTAATTTCAACCGCGGGCTCAAACGACTCGAGTCACTGCTCGCCGATATTCCCATATTGAAGTATGGCTCACGGCCAACTGCTCGTAAAGTGGGTGTTACGAAAACGAAGACCCTCGAAAACGAAGAAGATTTTATACTCTCCTTTCATTGGAGAGTATAAAATTCTTAAAAACAGAAATCTTAATCCTTACATTTCAAGGAAATGACTCTCAAAATAAGGAAAAAATCCTTGTTTTGAGTATCCACTGACTTACAATAAGAATTCCAAAAAACAAACTTTAGAGTGGTGTGAACATCCTTGTACTTGTTTTCATCCTCGTGCTAATAATTATCTCAGAAGTGCGAGACAGGCTTCAAGCGCGGTATTCAGTTGCAACACAAGCATGGGCACAGCTGCAACATAAACATGAGCACAAGCGCTCAGTCGATGTTATGTTAAATAGGGACATGGTTGGTATAAGCAGTATAGTGCTTGCTGATTGCCTGAAAATCTTTCGCTTATGTTAATCCTTACGCTTATGCCAACCAAGTCTTAACTAGACAGTATAAGCATAAAAAGAAGGCAATGTTTTGATAATCATATGCATATTATGCTTATCCTTATGTCCGTGCGTTCCATCCAGCACATAAGCTTTTACATGCCTATCCCTATGCTTGCATCGCAAGTTAATACTGAGCTCAATATTGGAACAATAGTTTTATGATAAACAAAACAGCACCTTTTGAACTTTCATTCCACCAACCTTTACAGTAAAATCTAGTACAGTGATTGTCTTGCACTAAATCCTAATCAGGCCATATTTTCTCTCTTTGAGGCCTAATTTAGTTTCACATCATATTTCTCATAATGCTCATTTACCAGTCTAACGATTCATACCCTAGTATGGAAATCAAACACCCATTTCTATTGACCTCACAAATTACATTGGCTTATCCAATTCACGAGTTGGCTTACAGAGCCTTTGATTGAATCAATGTGACAATGCTCGCTGTCGAAAAGTGAGCCTTTCAAAATTTTTATAGGAATATTGGGCCTGGAAAATTCATGCCGATAACTAAGCGTTTTCTTACCCCGGCGCAGCACGACAATCTTCAATAGGTACTTGTGGCAATCGCACAAACTCTGAACATTAAAATCAACATTTTCTCACCATTACTTGCCTTGATAATTTCAAATCGCACTTTTAGAAACGTAACTTAAATCTCGTATTGCGGGGATAAAACTTCTTCAAGACAAAGTACCCGGAGGCATTAACGTGGGACGCGTTGCTCATTATCAACAAAATCTCTGGTTTTCTGTGGAAAATACTAAATTCAATGTTGACACTTCAAAGTACAGGAATGAAATCGAAAACTAAAGACAAGAAAAAAAAGTTGTAACAGTTACTAAAAGACAACTAAGGACGTAGCTAATTTTCACAACTGACTAAGACACTCGCGCGAATTTTTTTTAACTTAGTCTGCAACGGGCATTTCACACAATAAGCTTTTCATCCAAGAGAGTCAACTACCTTTTAGGACGAAAGCTAACGTAGCTCCATTTTCTGCCTTTAAAAGCACACACAACCAACCCACAATTCCTCTATTCGCTCCGACGAAGGGCTAACGCTCGAAACGTCAGCTTTTGTAATCGTTACGGTGGCCAATTTACCATTTCAACTTTGTTGATATATCCAAATTACCTCTTAGGAAGATTGAGTACAACTGAAGCACTAATAAACTTTCTTGATGTTTATTATTTAATGATAGAACTGCATGAGCAAAGCATAATAAGTGTACAATCGCAAATATTATCAATACCACAAAATACTCTGGTTACAGTGTACCATGCTGCAACCATGTTTCGTTGTAAAATATCGCGTTGATCTACAACTAAAATACAATATACATTACAAACTTAAGTTTAGAGATTTACTCGTACTGTAGTGAGCCTTTTTTTTTTTGTACAAAGCATTTACCGTGCGGTCGTGAAATTAAACACAATTTTAGTAGTAAGCATACGAAACGCCACACTAACAACTACATGTATACTACATATAAAACATTACAATTTTAAAAAGCGACGTAAGGACACATTAACCAAACTCACCTCGTGCAAAAATACACTTGAATAAAGAAGACTACTCACGCAATAACGCATGTACATTCTGCTGGTTAGTCGTCTGTCTGGGCATTATGCGTTTTAAAAGTGAAACTTTCATCATGTCAAATTCTGTAGTCATCGTTTTGTTCAAACTGTAGCAACTTACGAATTGCTGAAGTAATGGTGGATACACTACGTCTAGTTTTCATTCTTACCTTTATAGTTATTCGGTTTGGAAAAGAACAGTAGCGCCTAAACATTATTTTATGAATTTCGCACACTTTGAGCAAACAAAAGAGCTACAGAAAGCTCCAATGCATATAGATATTAATAAAATTCAAGTCCTTGGATCAGTTAACACTGACAAAGGAAAACGAAATTAATTTCAATGTCACGGGTTCTCGTCCACTACAATCATAAATATGTAGAGAATTTCCAGGATTGTCATGAAGCTACAAAAAGCACGGACGCCGTGAGTAATTTCAAAGGAATAATGATTAGGATAAAAAAAAAAGTCGTTAACATGACATGAATTGATCGCCTTACACTAGAATATGTTGTTGAAAACATTCTACACTCTCGGGAGTAAACTTCGTACTTCAACGTTAATAAGCGTTCTCTTCAGAATACATTTTTCTTGTGCCTAGGGAGACATCTCGAGTCATTAGTTCCAATAAAATTATATAACTTACATGACATATTCCTCGTACTCAACAAGGAAAGTAGAAGGAAAGGATCCCCGTGTTCGCATCGAAAGCTACTACAAAAACCGTGCAAAAAGGTGAAAATTCAAATATTTCTACTCCATACCAAGTTCCCATCGCTGACAGTCTTACACCCACAGGTCTTCGTTCTTCCCACCCCCACCCCCACCCCCACTGCCCTTTAACTTAAAAGTCCTGTCAGTGGAGTTTTCATTCTCGTCTCGGTCTGAATTCGAGGCCGACGGTCGGGGTGAACTTGACAACACCTCCATGGGGAGTTCATCCCTTGAACGACTGCCCCGGGAATAGTTGTCATCAGATGTATATGGAGGTGGGATGTGATTCAAGCTGTCCCCCCAACTGCGTTGCCTATCTGATTCTGAAGAGATGTCTGTCGCTCCAGAAGGCTCACCGTCCCAATGATCTCTCGCTCGGCGACTGCCGTCTCGCCACTGATCGTCGTCGCTTTCCAGTCGGCGAATGTTCGGATCTCTTCGGCTACGTTCGTCGGGCGTGCGAGGCAAAGACGTGGCTTCAAAATCCATCGGGGCACGAGCGAGTTCCGCATTATTGCTTGCATCGTACTGCCAGCCTTCATTCTTCATTTGTTGTTGTAAATGACTATGACTCCAAAGGTTGGCCAGCACCTATAACAAAGCAGACGTTACTAAAAGTATTCAGATTGGTCGCACTGTGCTGTTACACATGCGGCGCGTTTTCGAAAGAAAGACAATCAGCATCACCAAATCCAATGAAACAGCCAACTTAACAATCATGGAGAAAAAGAGCAAGGTCTTAGGAATATTCAAACTGCTCTTAGGGTTAAAAACAAACTTTTGCACCCAGAGCTAAAAAGTGTGGCGCCACATTTCCATTCATTTTCATGGATAAACGAAAAAATCTGCGCAATCAGAAAATCGGATTCACGTATTCACCCCAGTAGATAAGCAACCTTGACAGAAACAAAGTGAAATTATATCTTTCTCTTGAAGAGTCAGACAAAGCAGGGATCACAAATTGACTTCCCCAATACGTTGGGTTTCCTACGGCGACAATAAACTCTTGGATTATCTCTCAACCATGACAAAAAAAACTGGACGAGCTGGCGCGGTATAAATAAATGTTATTATTAAAAATGTTATTATTAAAACAAAAAATTGAAGCTAGTAAGCGTCTTCCTGAAGTTAATCCTTTCTTTACCTGATTGGCTATTTTTATGACACGAGGTGAGTATAGTCTGTTCTGATCTGTTGCTATCCTCACAATCTTTTGAATGCTTTTGGTCTTTCGAAGGTATCTGTAAGGAAAAAACACGACACCGGAAAAACCTCGATTATGTAATAGATATAAAGGAACAAAAGGATGTGAAACACAACTTGTCGACACGCTTTCATCAGAAATTAACTGCAAAATGTGTCAAAACGTTTTCTCACAATCGTAAGCAGTAAAACAAGTCTTTGAAAGATACCCAGGGATCAAAACCCAAACTTCGGAAAACAATGCCAAAATTGACCTCCTTAGCTTATACGTTTGTTTACCAATTTAAGGTCTCAAGGGAATTTCCAGCTTTGAGTTTGGATAATCATGCTTATGTAAATGCTCGTGAATATGGGGAAATTGAAAGAAGCAGTTCTTTAGAGTATCACATGACCTGACAGGGGTAAAAAAAAGTTTACTGTGTAAGCTAACAGCTCTGGCGGTCCTATGGCACTTTTTGCTCTCGTGGAATGATGACGAAACAGTTTCAGAAGTTTTCATTTTAATCGCACGTTAAAAGAAAATTGGGGTGCCACAAATTGTTTTGTGAGTTTTAAGTAACTTGATATTTGACTCATTTCCCACACAAAACATATGCAAGGTTGTGGCTTGTTCGAAGATGGAAGCACGAACAATTGTGTACACCGCCGATCTTAACAAAAAGAAATAATACTGAGGTCAAAAGGGAAAACAGAAACACTATAGCAAAGAAAATACCACAAAAAAAATTAGAGTAAGATACAACGAATTACACTCACTTGGCGTTTTTGTCATTTTTGTTAGTAATCTGATAAATGGCGCACAGAAGAGAGGCCACAGTTGGATCATGCACGAGTCGTTCTTCCTCGTCTCCTGTGGGGAGTCTGTGGACCAAGTGTAAAATCGCTTTCTCGCCTAAAATAAATAAATAAGAAAATAACGACGACGTCTTCTAAGATTGTTTCCAAAATTTCTACGCTATGTGGTCCATCTTATTCCTAGGTGGTGCGACTCGATTAAACGAGCAAATGCACGATCGAAACGGCGAAACGGGACTTTCGGGAAACAAGTCTCGGTAAAATGGAACTTGAGAAACTGAGGGAAATAAGAGGAATCAAAGAGGAGTCTTACCAACAATGTTCTTGTTTTCCGAGTCAACGCACATGTTTCGAAGGGCAATGGCTGCTGCTCGGATTGTTGGATCGTAGTCAATTCGCAAAAGCTCCACGAGCTGTGGGATTGCTTGTGCTCGTCTTGTATCCCCACGGATTTTGATTGCCCACTGAGAACAAATCAAAATTATACAATCTAAGATAAAGCTATTATAAGCGTTCAGGACCCTTTTGCTGAAAGCAATTTTCACATACAAGAATCACGAAGAATCACGATAAGCCTGCAATGACGGTTCACAACAGTCCTGTCAGGCCTGTGTACGGATAAAATTCTTTTAATTCAGTACAGAATTATCAACCAAAATTGTGCCATGAATAGTACAATTACAATAACTATATCCCGAAAGTTGTACTCTCTAAGGTCAGCAAATAACTCTCTAGTTCCAACTTACATTTTCCTGCATTTGAGACTGACAAAGGACCTACCTTCCAAGAACAAGCTGTCAAGTTGTGCAGAGCCCCTGCCGACCCCTCTAAGGTTTCAATGTTCTTGGCTTTGCGTATCAGCACATGGTATTGTTGAACTGTCTCCGGCTGCCAAATCAGTTCAACCCCTTGTGGTGGACCCCTCGGTCGATCCATGGGCCTCTTGTCGTTGGGCACCTTTTTCTTCTTTCTTCCACCACACCCTGCGAAGCAGCCTTGGCTTTGTTGTTCTTTGACGGCAGCAGGGTCGACATCAACATCGGCGTCGTCATAGCGATCCCTATCGATCTCACTTTCCAGCCGGTAAGACAGGTTTCTTAGTGTGCACACTGAATGCTCAAGGCACTACAGCAAGAACAAGGAAAAGTTAAATTAAATTTTTTTTCAATCTCGAGGGAAAAGTGTCAAAACTTGTCACGAAGGTGAGACAAGGAAAAGTTTAAGTCCGCATAAGGATTCGAATTCCAGCCAAAATTTCAACGATTTAAACTTGCTATAAATAACTCGCTATAACCTCTACGTTGATTAAAACTCAAAACGGATCTTACATTGAAAATTAGCGGCAAACAAAACACCAACACCGAAAATGCAACGACTTGTCCTCGCAACTTTCGCAGTGAAATCAATTCATTGAATTGCCTCAATATTCGCGATCTTCCTCAGCTGTCGTTTTCTTCACCTTTATCTTGTGAAGAGAACCTTTGTAAAATGCTATAAACTACCGTTCAATGAAATAACATGTTGTCTATGGGACGACTAACAATAATCCTAAACAGTTGGGGGTAGAAAGGCTTGGAAAATCAACATCCGCCAATAATAGTCTTCGCCAAATGATTCTTGAAGAACATGCCTTGCACGAGAAATTTTCAACATGTCTGGCTTTTGTTTGTCTGCTCGTTTGTTTGAAAATAATTTCGATAGTAAAAGATCAACGATGGCTGATCTTGTCTTTTTTTTAAGGTTTTTCTCTACTCCTAAAACCTTCAAATTTCAGGAAATTTACTTTACCTTGTTATCATATTGTTCACTTTTAACACCAATTCTTACAATCCAAACTAAACAGTCGATCAAGTCTTTCTCGTCCCTCAGTTCTTGCCGGGCCCTGGTACCGGCCGAAGACAGATTGCGCACGAGTCTGGTAGCATGAACGAGTACCGCTGGCCAAGGCTCAGACCTCAATGGCGGCTGCCCTCGAGCTGCCACAGCCGTCCACTCAGAGTATGTTATGATAATAAGAATAACGATAATGTGCAGGCAAACCAAGAGGATTCTGAGACGTAGCGACTAGAAAAGATAAGGGGGCAAGATTCTTGTTAAGGTAACTACAGTACAACCCTGCTAAAACTAACTGCCGTATAGTGGAATTAAAAACTGGTTTTGTGTAATAGATACCAGCGAGCTGGCTGGAGCAAAATAATTGGAAATGTTATGGAAATTACTTCCACTTCTGTAAATTAATAAACAAATGTTGCGCCAAAATGCCTCACCTCAACGGACGATAAGTTGCACAGAACTCCTAAAATTGCCTCCCTGTACTGCATGAGTAAAAGAAGAGAAGGTTAAAACGTCTGAAAAAAGGGAATAAAACGCATCATAGCTAGCCTACCTCTGTCTTGTCCGTTTCTTGCAGGATTTCTATAAGAGCTTCAATTCCACCACAATCAGCTATGGCCAACTGTTAAATAAACAAAGATGGACGTTGAAATTTAAAATGAAAAGAACTTAAGAAAGAGTTGTGTGATCAAACATCATGTAGGCATCACATTAACAGGAAATTCGCTTTTGAGTAAAGATGACCATTATTACCATGACAAAAAAAAGAGGCCATTTTGGATATATGTGCGATAAATTAGTATGACTTGTTCTCAGTGTGCTCTGCTGAAAATGTTACACATTTCAGTCCCATTACTTAAGTTTCTTGGTGTTTAATGCACGTTTAGCTCCCTATAGCACTTAAACTCAAACCTGGCCAGGAAAGAAAGTAAGTATTTCATCCCGCACAATCAGAAACTGAAATGGTGTCAACGGTGTTGCCCATGTTATAGGATGTGTCACATTTTGCATTAAAAAGATTAGAAAGATAAAGAAATTATACTAAAAGTGGACACAGAGAAGAGTTAGAGCTATTCATACCCTGTTTGCGTCATTTTTCATACTAAATGAGAGGTTCCTCAAAAGACAAACAGCAGCATATCTAACACGCCATTCAGAATGCTTCAGCAACCTGACAATCACTGGAATTCCACCAAGTTCTCTGTTGAAAAATAAATTCAAAGAAAATGATAAATTAGCCAGATAGTAACAGAAATCGAAGAAATAAATCAGCCTAGTTGTGCAGTTAGGTGCGATCCGTTGCATGAAAACGCAAAAGACCCACAATTGACAGCTAACACCAGAGCTAAAGCTTAATGCGCTGTGAGAAATTTATAACATGGAAGAGTTCCACCTTAAGTTCTAAAGAATTTCATTCGCAATCCGCGTAAATCTACTCCATCATTGGAATAAAATGAGAATGAGAGAATAAGAGCGAATCCTTTACCACGAAAATGATTTCTCATTTCAGTTTATAAAACTTCCTCTTCAGAGTGTGCGTTTGGTACAAGAAAGGTTGGTGCGCTGAAAAGTGGAAGATTTCGTGACACTCACAATGATTGTAAAACGACACATTGCATGATAGTTATCAAATTAGGCCCTGATACATGTGTGACGAGGTATTACTCACAGGTGTTATGCATTAAAAACACCTGAGGAAAGAACAAACCAAAAACAAACAGAAAAAGATTTCCTGCTCTGAAAGGGTCTTATTCCCTACACATATTTTTAGTGTAATAATTTACACATGCAGGTGACATACACACACACACACACACAGATGAAAAGTGGATTATCTCATCCCGGTTGCAACATCGTCAACTTAAAGAAAAACGAGAGTAAATACGGCAAATGAATGTGCTATACCTGACTTTATCCTTCACATATTCTTTACTGTAACATAAATGTTGTAAATATGCAGCCGCGTTAATGATCTTGACCTCATCTCCAGATTGCATGTATTCAATCAGATCTGGAATATCCGGCTCTTGACCAACTGAAAAGAACGCAGTGTCGAAAATGAATCAGACAATAAATTGGAAGAAAAACAAAAGATTTCTCAAAAAAAGAAAATTTCACTGTTGGTTGACATTTTCACGAGATAATTGAACGCACAGTAAAGAAAAACCCGAGCAAAAGAAATGTTAGAAACAAATATCAGCTAATTTGTAATTTGAATTTTCTGAGTGCTTGAATTTTGAGTAATTTGACGTTGCATAGAAGCAACGTTTACCTTATCTTTGGGAACGTCGAGAGCAAAATGTATTGCTTAACCTATAGCGTTCCAAACTGAGCCCTTACGGAACTTCCATCATCCCAATGGGCGATATTGGATTGTACTTTTCCTACGCTACGGTAGTTTTTTTCGATTTATTTAAGCGAATCTCTCCTTTACAAATATTCATCTGTTTAAAAGCACTTTATTCGGATGAATGTTTTTTCTCACCTAACTGGCCATAATTCCAAGAATCTGAAGGAAAAGAAGAAAACAAACAGTAAGTTAGCCTTGGCAAGAAAAACAGAATCAACTGCGAAAATCAAGTTGTTTTAAAGGGTTTGCGACAAAGTCCAAAGAAATTATTCACCGACGCAAGTCAAGCAGAGAGTCTTCGACAAAGTATGAACTAACTGTATCCATATTTGGCCAAAACGTTTAGCAAACCGCTTTCGATTTGGTTTGTTTGCTCAAACTAAAGAACTCTAATTTGATCTATCACGTTTTTCATTACAACATCAAGTTTAAAAAATGCAAAAGAAATAAGCAACAATTCGTTAACTTCTCAAGAAAGGTGACAGCCTCGTGACGATTTTATAGTAGTAAAAAGGAAGAATTGAATAAAAAATATAATTTTATATCTATTGTTTGGTGTCCTCACCTAGTGGAAGGTCAATTTCATTTGTTCGTCCACCGATCCAGCGGCCCCCTTTGAACACGTAGCGCTCACCACGGGCCAAAGATAATATTACAACTTCATCTAGCAACCACCGAGAATTAGAGCCAGAATTATCATGGCCTACGCGAAGCATTTTGAGCTGCAAGGGAAAAAATAAAATATGCATCAAAGACTACGTATGTTGCAGTGTATAGACGTTGGCCTATCTCCCCACCAGTGGATTTCCAGTAGATCAGCTGGTTGAGCATGTAATTTTCTAATTCAAAGATCTTAGGTTCGATTTTCTTCGTTCTGAGCTCGTGCTGAATGTTTTGAAGCGAGATCAGTGCTTGGATTGACAATACCATATACCAACAGATCAATCTAGTTTTGGCGCAGACGGAGGAAGAGAGGAAATTGGTCGGTACGTTTTTTGTTCCATTCGCAAAAAGGGACTAGGATTTCACTTTAGATACTAACAGTACACAATGAAACATTCGCGGGCTCTAGCTCTCTTACTGGGTAAACAGAATGCGGGCTCCTAACCACGTTGCACTGCTGTAATATTGCAGTACAGATGCAACAGTTCTCACTCACCCGACCAACATCTCTGGCCCTGATCCTGAATCTATCCAGCTGTCCCCGGTGAAAGTAACCCTTTCCCTTGTTTTTTAGGTCGATTTCTTGAGTCTCCCCATCTTCGCCAATCATTTGAAAATACACATTGGCATCCGTGCCAGCGTTTTCTTCCGCGGACGTCTTAAACTCCACGTCATACTCGGCGTCTGGAGATAAAGTAAAGGGAAATCTTAGGAGGCACGTTGCACACGTACACCAAATTTATCAAGCAAGAGGATACCTTTTAATTTCTAGCTCGTTATGCAGCACAACGTCTTGCATGCATAACGAAGGTTTTCCAGTTTACAGGTCTTCGACAACAACGACCCTCGGAGATGAACGTAAACCCTCTCTTCGACAGGAAAAAGCGACAACTTACACAAAAACTTCCTAGCACGCCCCTAAATCTAATTCCAAAGCTACTTAAAGTCTCTCAAACCCCTGTCCCAAACCCCTGTACCTCTTTTTCGTCTAATCTGTCTGCCTTCAAAGGTAAAGTTCTCTCTCTTTTTCTAACCTTTACCTCTCGTGCTTCTCACCTGGAAACGTTGCTTTGTCCCAATTGTCCCTACAAACTTCGTTGCAGTTGTACATTATAGTCTTTTGTTTTTAGTTTTTCCAATAGTTAATCTTAATCAACAATGCTCCATGATACTCTGTAAGTTTTTTTTCTATTTTCACTCATATGTATAAACATATTCATTTATTATTTATACTTTTTCATTATGTATTTTTCTCATATTTTATGTCAATGTTTAAGTAGTGTGAGGGCCTCATGTTAGATAACCCCTTGGGTTAATGAGCGTCCCTCCTTAAATAAAGTTCATTGATTGATTGATTGATCTCTTCGCGACCTTCAGGTAACGATTGGCGGCCTTTTCACCTTCTCTTAAATGAAGAAAGGACTACAGTAGAACCCTGTTTACCCGAACGTGGCGGCCTTGCACTTTTTGCTAACTCAAACTTTACGCTATATTTCTTGAAATACATTTATCAATCATTCGCTAATAGCTAACTCCGACTTCCTGGTATCTCGCATTGTTTTCATTCTCCTGGGACGCTCGAATTAACAGGGTGCTTCAGTATCTCCTTGAACAAACAAAAATAGCATTTGAATTTGAGAAATACTTCTTCAAGCGCAAAAATTTGTTTTTATTTCTCTCTTTTGAAACAATATCAGCTAGAGAGGAAAGAGATATCTCTCTTACCACCAAATCCGGACGCTCCAGTTTCTGTAAGAAAAACGAGAAGGTGAAGTTACAAAGCATGAAACAATTAAAATAATTACTTTAAGACCTGCGTTCCTAAATTCAATCAATACAAATAGTAATACTGTTGACAAGTATGTTATTTATATTTGTAGTAATGATTTGGAAAAGACACATACCTTGCAGGCTGTCTACCTCGATGGGTTTCACTTCTCCATCAATGTCATCCACTGCAGCAGAAAAAAAAGTTGGTCAACAACATTGCTCAGAAAATATAAATGCGCATCTACATACAGCATATTTCCCTTTCTATTCTCACTATCATTCCAAGGAGATCTTCCTCTAAGCCTCGCGTTCAGCACAGTGCTTTTGTTGCGCTCTTGTGCCCATCAACACTGTGGAGCGCGAGATGTAGGTTATCATACGACGGCCCTTACTATCCAGGATCCAGTACCCTAGGATACCACAAAATTTAACTACACGTATTTCCTTTCATATTTACCTGGGTATAAGACTGCTTCCTTCCGCTGACCAGGCCGTTGGCCACCGAGCCACCCGCCACAGCGGAATTTATAATGTTCATCTCGTTCAGGGATATCGACATCAACTTCCTCCAGGAGCCATCCGGGGTCCTCTCCTCTGTTGTCATGACCAATAACTAACTTTTCGAGCTGCGGAACGAATGTTTGCCAAAATTAAATCGCAAAGATCCTCAGCTTTGTCAAGACACCGGGGGAAAGGGCGGGAAGTGACTCAGTGGAAGGGAATTTGGTAAAATTTCTCAACATTTTCCCAAAGCAATATTTTGTTTTTAAAAGATTAGGTAGCTAGCTGTTATTCGAAAGAACGATTAAAAAAAAGGCGAGGATGTGAGTGGAGCAACGCTTTCAGGTGTGCCACTCGTAAAAGAGCCAGTTATCCAAATTATCTTCAGCCCTCAAATACTCGAGTTCAGTTTATTATTTAAGTATGGTCTTTGCCGCAAAGACCGTACTTAAATTTTTCAATTTGCGCCAAGTCAAGGCGTTTAAATCGCCTGCAACTGTAGCCCTTATCGTTATTATTTTCTCTTTTTTTCGCCGATACTTTAAATTCTCTTAACCAAAACGAAAATACGAAATACCTAATAATTGGATGTAGTGGATCGATGGTATAGTACCGAAAGATGTACTTAAAGGTACCTGACCAGGAGTTGGTGATTATATCAGCAAGGTTCAATTCAACTTCTTCAACATCATTGCACCTTAGTCATTTATATTTTGAAGTTAATTCAATGAACTCAGTTCCCTACCTTTCCAACATCCGCTGTCTGTACAACAAATTTATCAGCTCGTCCTCGTTCGAAACGTTTGAATGTCTGGCTTTCGTCCTGTAAAGCGATTTTTGGCGTTTCCCCTTTGTCGCCGTGCAGCGCAAAATAAACATTTGCGTCGGTTCCTGCATTTTGTACATCTGCGGTTTTTAATGTCATGTGATATGAGATATCTGAAAAAAAAAATTGAGAAAAATTTCCATGTAAACGAAATAATTCTTTGCCCACTGAGCTTCCAAAAAATTTGTAAAGCATTAAAACATGATCGCTCTACAAAATGGTAAAATCTGACTAGCTAACTGAAATAAGTACATGGTAGCCCACCAACAAAATCTCGAGTTACCCAAGGTGAGGCGAAATTCTTGGTGTCTATGTTCGCTTCCTTCTATTCCATATTTCACAATTCATAACCATAACTTAATTACTTAAAGTGCACCTAAACCCAATTTTTTTTTCGCTTAACGAAATAAGCGTATTTTTTGGAGTATTTCTGTGCAAACATTTTTTTATTTGCTCAAATCTTCAATTTTCTGTGCCCAGTCAAAATACGGAAAATCGGCCGCCATCTTTCCCCACGACCGAGTTTAAAGAGGAATGGCTCTAGCGGGTAATGTGACGTCAAATCGAGAACACGAAAGTCTGCATTTCACACATTTTCA